ACAAAACACAAGAACATGGGCACATGGACAAAGTAACATGGGAAGGCTTTTAAAATTGGACCATTTAGATTTAAAAGAAAAAAGAGAAAAAGCATATAAAAATACCCTACATTTACATATACACGGAGGAGCACATGAAAGGGGGGACTTAGACATTTTTTTGAAAAGAGAAAGGGAAGACCACTAAAATGGAGAAGAAGAAAAAAACTACCACGACCATAACTCCACCTCCTTCACGCCTCAAAACCACCACTGCCCGTCACCGGAAAAATCGTCCAGCGACCACCCTTCCACCTCTAGCAACCACCGTCGCCCCAGCTTCCTCTCCGTCTCACGACCACCATCAATAGCCCACCATCCCTCGCGAACCAGCAGCAACGTCGTCAACCAAACAGTCCGTCGACCACCCTATCCTCCAGCCAACAAGCTCCAGCTCCACCAAAACAGTCATCGCTGTTGCGCCATCACCTTCCTCACGTCCAAACGACTACCCCCTTTACGTCATCACCTTCCTCACGTTCAAACGACTACCCCCTTTACGTCATCACCTTCCTCATCGTCCACCCAGACCACCCTCATCGTCGCCATAGACTCCCTCCGTTCGTCGCTACATTCGTCAACCGGACGAGCTCAACCTCACTATCGAGCAACTAGATCGTCCCCGTCATCCATCTTCCAGTCGACAACCAATCAACCAGCCCCACGAACACCGGAGCCTCGTCGAGCAGCAGCTGTTGCTTCACGTTCTTCTCCTTCGAACACCATAACACCAGCCCCCAGGTCTCTAACCAATCAGCCCAGTTGCCGCTGTTTCTTCACTGTCGTCGCGCAGTCCGTCTGAGGTCATCGTTTGGGTTGTGCTCGTGGTTTCCGGTCTGAGATCTTTGAGCTTGACATCGAGGTTCCAAGGTTCCGTCGTTGAAGAGGTTTCCGATAGTTGTCGGTCCAGTTTGGTTGTTGTTCTTGCTTCAAACAGGTGCATACACATTTCTAAACTTGTGATATTTGCTTAAATGGAATAAAAATGGTATGGATTTCTTATGAACTGTTTGTGTGTCGTCTTTGTTGAATTGCTTTTGATTTTACCATGGATATTATTACCTATTAGAATTGTTGTTCCATATTTGTTTAACCTCGGATGACTTCATTGTTATTTCGTTTATTTCGTTTTTTCGTTTGAATTTTGTCTTATAAGATATGTTCCACAAAATGGGTACATGAAAGAAATAAGTTGTTGGATTTAGATTATAGCTTAACTATTAGTCTTCATGATTTAATTGTTAGTCTAATTCTATAATGCTTGCTTTACAATAGTCACAAAGTTTATATAAAAGAATAACGAACACCTAGTATACTTTTAGGCGCGCCTTTAATTTATTATCGTGATTACGGGTACGGTTCCCGTGATGTAGTTGTGATGCTTAATTTCTAAATTCGAGGGTTCATTTCATGTGACCCGGCTTCAATTTCGAACAAGGTTAGATAAAGCGTGTCGTGAAGCACAGGTGTTATGGTTTGAGATGTTTTAAATAACCTTGAATTTTTCCGAAATGTTAAAAGCTATTAAAATAATAACACCCTTTATGCTTTAACTTTTGTTTTAGCTTTAACTTTTGCTTTTGTTTTCCCTTTAAGCTTTAACTTTTGCTTTTGGCTTTAACTTTAGTTTAAACATATGTACAGCATGTGTCTATTGTTATTTGAAGTATTTTTAAGTTTGTTGTCAGACGAGCCTCGCCAAAAAAAAAAGTGCACAAACCGCGGAGCTCTCATAAATGTATATATTAAAAATACTTAGAATACGGGATGAGCCATCTAGCGAACTTCACGGCTTTCCCTAAAGATAATAACGCGTTAGACCTTTTAGGCGCGATTTTAATTAAATTACATTCTTAAATTCGGGTGCGCATTTATGTGACCCAAATCCAAATCTCAACGGAGTCGGAATGTATTAACAACCACGGGTGTATTGATTGCGACGTGGTTCGAGATGCATTTTCACGACGTTGCAATTTTATTAAAAAATAATAATAAAAGCGGTTTAAACTTAATAAAAGCACACAAGTTAACATGTATTAAAATCAGATATTTAGCCATTATAACAATTTAAGCGACCGTGCTAGAACCACGGGATCCGTGGGTGCCTAACACCTTCCCTCGGGTCAACAGAATACTTAGAACTTCTGGTTCGCAGACTTCATTTGGAAAGTCGAATATTTTCCTCGAATTGGGATTCAAGATAAACCGGTGACTTGGGACACCAAAAGCCAAACCTTTCCCAAGTGGCGACTCTGAATTAAATAAATAATCTCATTTTCAAATAATGTCACTTAAAATGAAAAAACTCCCCTCATGCATTTATCCTTCGGGGTAGGCGCAAAAAGGAGGTGTGACAATAAGGACATATAATGATTCAATTCCTGGCAAGGAGGTGTTTATAGGCATTTATGTCTGTCTTGAAGCATTAAAAACTGGATGGTTAGAAAAGTGCAGAAACATAATTGGCTTTGCATTCCTAAAGGGGACATGCAAAAGTGAACTGCTTTGTCTCAAGGAATCAAAGGATACATGGTCTTGGTTTATCAGATGTCTCAAGCATGATCTAAACTTGACAGAAACTGAAGGAGAAGGGCTGACGGTCATGTCTGATACGCAGAAGGTATGATTTCTAATACTCTTTCGTTAAAGTGTAATTGTTTTCATTTATGTTTAAGTTATAACAATATAGTTTTTATGATTGTAGGGTCTTCATCTAGCAATAACTCAGTTATTGCCAAATACTGAGATGAGATGGTGTGCTAGACATATCTGGGCTAATTGGAAGCAAGCTTGGCCTAGTGAGGAAAGAAGGAAAAAATTCTGGTAGTGTGCAAGAGCTACATTTGAAGTTTACTTTAGCAAGAAGTTGGATGAAATGGACCAGCTGGGGGAGATATTGTTCAAGACTTACTGAAATATAACAAGGAAACATGGTGTAAGGCATACTTCAAAGAACATAGTAAGTGTGGTGTAGTGGAGAACAACATGTGTGAGACATTCAATAGTTGGATATTAACAGCTAGGCACAAGTCTATCATTACTATATTAGAGGAAATTAAAATCAAGTGTATGGAGAGGATGAATAGCATGAGAGATTTTTCTGAAAAATGGGTAGGTGAGATATCACCCATGGCTATGGAAATACTTGGAGAGAATGCTTAAAGGGCAGCCAAATGTGAAGTCAAATTTAATGGTGAAATAGGGTATGAGATCCATATAAACATGTTGTTAACTTTAGGACATGTACCTGTACTTGTAGATCATGACAACTCAAAGGAATTTCATGTGCACATGCAATTACAACAATGCATTATAAGAACTATGAGGGAAAGGATACCTACCTTAAGGCATATAGCAGATTTATTCAACCTTTAACTAGTATGAATTTATGGCCAAAAAGCACACTGCCAGCTATTGAGCCACCTGTTATAATTGCAATGCCAGGAAGGCCAAAGAACCAAAGGAGAAAAGCTGCTGATGAACCAAAGAAGAAGTTTGGGAAGGGTACAAGGATAGAGAGACAAATGAGATGTTCTTTGTGCAAGACTCTAGGACATAACAAGAAAGGATTCCCATTAACAGTAAGTATTAATGTTTGTTTTGTTGCTAATATTGAAAGAATTCAATTACTAGTGATAGTTTTGTTATGTGTATGCAGAGAAACCAAGGGGGAAGGGCTGGAACTAGTTCAGTTGGAGGTGAAACTGCTGAAAGTGGAACTGCAACATCAACAGCAACTGGAAGTGCATCAGCAGCAGCTGGAAGTACATTAGTACCAGCAGCTGGATCATCAACAATAGCTGGAAGTGCATCAGTACCAACAGCCGGATCATCAACAACACCTTCAACTATGGAAAGTGTTGCCTTCACTCTACTAATCATTGATCCAAGCACACAACAATCAACCAATATTACAGGAGGTCCAAAAAGGAAGACCAATGAGCCTAGAAGAGGTGGTGTAAATGTAGGGTCTAAGAGACCAAAGACAGCAGGATATAGTGTGCTATTTGATTCAAGTGGCACTGTTATACAGAGGGTAAATATTTTCACTTAATTACACAATGGTTTACTACATAATCCCTCACTCACAACCTTTTATTTTTGTGTAGTCTGGAACTACTGACAAAGTGGTACACAATTCTTCTACACTCATAAGTTCTGCTCCTACCAACATTGAACTTAGGTTCAAACCACTTGGACTAAAGTGGAAGGGCCGAGCAGCAGTTACACAAAGGCAGCTGCAAGAACAGAGTTACAGAAGGGCAAAGTCTACTACAACCACTCAAGCCACCCTAGTTACACAATCCACACCAAGCAGCCAAGCCACAACAAACATTAATTGAAGTGCTCAACTGATATTTACATATGTATGTGTTTTGTTGACTGTGGTAGACAATATTTTGTAAAGCTACTTCATTATGTATGTTTTTGTTGACCGCCTATCGTTGGCAATATTTTGTAAACCAACTCCCTTATTTTGGATGTTTTATTAACTGCCTATAACACATGCCATTATATTAGTACTTGTTGCTGTAATGGATCCTTTGTCAATATATTCCATGAATAAAATTTTACATCAACACAAAATATGTAGCCTAAACCCAGGAAATAAAAAAGTGCACTATCAATCCTAAACAAATAACATAATAGCTAACATTAGAACAACTACAACCACAATTATAATAACAACAACTCTGAACTTCGACCTTCCTTGTCTTCTTTGACAATAGCATCGATCACTCTTCTTAATAAGAGCCGCAAGAAGAGTCTTGTAGTGTTCTTCCTCAATCGCAGGATCAACCCATTTGAAAAGGCCATCACCTTCAGCAATCTCATATCTTCGGCAGCCTAAGAACCTCCTTCCAGGATGGTGGGTGTTCGTGACATTTTAAGATACGCAGCAACTCCACAATAACACAAAGGTTCCTTCCTCATTGTTGAAGGAGAAGAGGCGGCAATAGCTTATTTGTTGCAAGAGAAGCAGAAAAAAATTGACTTTCAAAACAAAAGGAAATGGCAAAAATTGATGGGCAACGAAGAGTCACAGGAAAATAAAATTTTATTTTTCACTGTTGAAGCTAACAAAGAAAGAAGAAGACATCAGATTTGCTAAATTTAGCTTCTATAATGTTCAACAATAGAGAATAAGGTAGGAAGAAGAAGATGGCTGTTAAATAGGCTAAATTATTACCGTTAGGGCTTTTTTAACTGTCTTCACGCCCCTTACAGGCGTATGAATCACGCACTGAAGCCACATATGACACATATGATAAACCACGTTGGATAAGCGTTTATTATTCACGTTTTGAATGAGTGTAAGTATTCAATTGGCGAATATCTAAATTTGGGGACCGACATGATAAAGTGGGTGAAGTACATGTGCCATTTAGGCTATTCTGCCAAAAGATAAAGATAAAATAAGTCAAAAAAGAAAAAAAGCAAAAGAAATATCGTCTCTTTCAGTTCTTCCCCGCAACTCCCCCCCCATTTAATTTCTTTTTCCTATTAACCCTACCCCCACCCCACTCAACAAACACCGCACCCCTCCCTTTCCTCTTCCCTTTTCGATTATTTCCCCCTGTATGTTTCTTCTTCTTCCCTCCCCACCCCCCAGAAAACCACCTCCGGCTCTTCCCTTTTTGATTTTCCCCCTGTATGCTTCTTTTTCTTCTTTTTCTTCTTCCCTACTCCCCTGTTCGTCCCTTCCAACAAAAAAAAAAACTAAATCCCTAAAGTCTCCTCAAACATCTCTGTATACTATAGTGTCATTTTTTTACCACTCTTGAATCCTGAACAAGTCAAAAATATACTAAAGGGGCAGCGGGTATTAATTTTCGAGCTAGACGAACAATGGACCATCGAACCTCTTCTCCGCCACCTAACGCCGTCAGCCATGAAAATGGACCATCGAACTTCTTCTCCCACTTTTCGATCTGGAAAAAAAATAATTTTTACTTAGTTTCTTTTCTTTACATATTTTAATTTTATTTCTATAATATAAAAATGGAAGAATTGGAAGGGAAAAGAGGAAGAACACGAAGAAAGAGAAGCAAGATGGGCAGGAGAAAGAACGTGAGGGGAGAGAGAAATCAATGAGGGAGGGGATTAGGGAATTAATGTTTGAATTTTATTTTTATTTTTTTATTTTAATTATTTTTAATCTACCATGTGACATGGCATCTACACATGGTTATTTTTTGACGTGACAACCAACGTGGAGGAGATTGTATTACACGCACCGGCAACTTCCTGTCATAAGCGTTTATTATACACAGTTTGAAGGAGTGTAAGGGTTCAATTGACAAATTGTCAAGTTTGAGGACTGACATGACAAAGTGACACAAGTATATGTGACATTTAAGCTATTCTGCCCTTTTTAAAATTAGATAAGTTGCCTAAAGTCTGAAAGCGGTCACATGATCCAAACTTTAAAATGGTCAAATTTTAAAGCAAGTGGCTAATTTTGTAAATACAAGGCCACAAAAGTAGCCACAACGGGTTTTCTCCTTTTTGGCAGGGGAATTTGGCTTTTGGCCCTTCATTTAAAAAACAAATTCACAGTCCTAAGCTGTGCAAAGGGGCAGGAAAAAAATAGAAGAATTACTTCAAATAGTCGCCCACCCAATTGCTTAAACTAAAAATATAGACGTATAATATATGCATAATTTATGTACTATATGATATAATTATGTATAATCAATTATTGAATGACATGAAATGGTCTTATCACTTGCTTTCAACCACGTACTGATAGGTACAAAAAAATCATCTAAGTTTTATAAACTTTTTAATAAATTTACATACACCTGATATAATATTATTAACCAACTTTATTTTACTTTATCAGTACGTAACTCGTTTGCTATATTTTAAAGCATTTGTAACATTGTATTTCTTGTGGAAGCTAAGGGTGAACCCTCTCATGCATTAACCTTTTTTAATTATCCAATAATATTAGTGAGCTTGATATATATTTAACTATTAATTGTTCAAATCTGAAAAGTAAATAATTCCTTTCTCGCGTTTCCAAAACACTTTAGATGGTCATGTGACTTTGTCAAAAGATCTTACAGGCACTAATCTTTGAGATTGGAACAACCTATCTAAAGTAAAGTGGTAAGCTTTTCTTCTTTTGATTGTGTAACCAAGTGAAATCCATAATTTTAGGAATTTTTTTCTCAAGTTATTCCTAAAAATGAGGACAGAGTTGTCTAAAAACAAAAAGAATACCATCGTGCGATCCACCATTTTTTTTTCCTAAGTATAAACACGAGTTTGAGGTTTCCAAATTAAAATTCGTTGTTCTTAAGGAGACAACACATTAGTCAAGAGATTAAAATTCTGTTTGGTTTAACTAATTAAAAGTAACCGATAAGTATTTGATGAGTTTACAATATCTTAGCTTTATGTTTTGATGATCTAACAAATTTACTGTCAAAGAATCAGATAAGGAACCTGATACACTTGATACACATCGCAAATCAACGGACTCCAGCTAATGTGAACTGCTACAACTTCAGAAGATAGGAAATCAATACAAGGACATGATACCCTTGTGTTTCCCTGACAGCAGTACGAAATCAACTGTCTACAGCTGGAAAGTGACTGCTTGCACTGTACATAGAAACAGTGCAGCAGAGTTCTGCAGTCACTTCTCATTTGTCTTACCAAGTGATTACATCATTCAAGTGATGTCATCCATGTTGTATTAACGTTAAACTTTACAACAAAACATCACTTGAACACTTGAGAATTCATTCAACCATTCAAGCATCTGACATCCAAGCATTCAATTCTCAAGTGCATCAAGAACAAAGTTTAACACTACTATGGACCAGTTCCTAGAGCTAGTAATTTGTATGTCCTTAGTTGAGTTGTAACTTTGTGATTGTTCTTCATTGTAATTCCTACTTTGCTTATTTAGAAGCGTTACTTAGGAACCTCTTGTGAAATTATAAACCCTTAGTGTTTGTGTCGTGACTAGAGTTAGTCATGAGTTGAAGTCTTTGTAATATGTGTATTGCAAAGTGGCTTGTAATAGGTGTATTACAAGTTAGTGAGAGATTAAGAGTTTAATTCCTAAAATACATAGGTTGTAATCTAAAGTTTGCTCAGTAGTAAAGTTAAAATCCTACCAGTATAGGTCGTGGTTTTTTATCCCATTGAAGATGGATTTTTCCACGGAAAAACTCCCTGTCTTATTTACTTACTGTTTCATTAGCATTTTCAGTAGAAGCTCATAAAGGACCTGATCTTTCTATAATTTGGTGGACTCATATATTCTATCAGTAAATAGTGTTGAAAAATAATTTAATCGCTCACATAATCACGCGTTTGGATATAACTACTAAAACTGATGATAAGTGAGTGTGTTTGTTAACAAATTTCTAATTAGAAAACAGTATCCTTACATGAAAAAATGGAGGTGTAAGGGTTTTATTTTGGTAAGAATTTTATTATAAGAAGATATAAGAGATAAAAATAAAATAAAAATTGTCACACCAAAAGTACTCGAACTAAATTTTTTTTGGCAGTAACCAACTAGTGGCTTTTGATTTGATTTTAATATATAAACACTTGACTTAAAAATACTTTTAGTATTTATCAAAAACTTCTACCAAACATATAAATAAACCAAAAGTGCTTAAATCCCTATCTAAAGTCTAAACTAGGTGGAATTAAACCAGCACAAAAACCTTAAAATAGGAAAAGAGCACGTGGCAAATGAGAAAGAAAAAGGAAACGAAAGGGCAGAGCAATTATTTTTTTTGTAGATTTTGAATAGATATAAAAGGAAAAACACATTTAAAGTGTAATTACGCAAAAATTATGGCCTTGACAATAAACTTCTTGACTGAAATAGTGGTTTTAACACAGACAATGGAACACAACGTTGATAAAATCCTTCGCACAACGATAGTACCTTCAAAGAAACTCCTATAGTATTAATTAGGCTACTAAAAGTCTAAAATTGATATAAGAACATAAAGTTTACTGAGAAACAATTGTTGTTTTTAGAAATACTGCAAATTTGCTAAGTCTACAGCTATAGCTTTGAAAGCTTCACATTCTTTATTTTGGTCAAGTCAAGGACGTGTGATGTACTCCCTCTGTGTTCAGTTATTAGAATCTATTTTCGTTTTGGTCCGTTTCAAAAATAATAACCTCTTTTTAAATTTGGTAATAATTTAATTTTTACTTACAATTCTATAACTTTTATAACCACACAAATATTTTAACTTGTTTAGAACCATAAATTTAAAAAATAGGTTTAGATACATTGGAACGGAGATAGTACTGCCATTTCACTAGTAAACCTATTGCGCTTACATACCAAAAAAAAAAAGTCCCACTTGCCTATTTTCCTTAATTTTTAATTCTTTCTAATTGTCTTCCAGATCTTGATTTTGGAACTGAAACCCAATTCCTAACTCCATTCTTGTGTTTTTAGACCCAGTTCAACCCATCTAATCAAGAATTGAAAGACTTTTAGTAGCTTCAAAATTTCTGTTTTTTCAGTTAAAGATTGGATTTTTGAATCAAGAGTAACTTCACGTTTCAGTTTTTCAGTTAAAAATTGGATTTTTGGGTCAAAGTAACTTCAAGTTTCAGTTTTTTCAATTAAAGATTGGATTTTGGGTCGAAGTAACTTCAAGTTTCTGCTTTTTCAGTTAAAGATTGGATTTTTGTAGTTTCAGTTTTTCAGTTAAAGATTGGATTTTTTGGGTCAAAATAACTTTAACTTTCTGTTTCTTCAGTTAAAGATTGGCTTTTTGTAGTTTCAGTTTTTTCAGTTAAAGATTGGATTTTTGGGTCAAAGGGGGTAGATGGGTATGTCAAGTGTCCAAGAAAATGGACATGGGGAATTGGGTTTGTCTGATTTTCCTTTAGGGAGCAAGAACAAGTACAAGAGAATGGTCTCTGAGTTAACAGATTATGATGGAGATGATGATCCTTCACACCATCATCATCAAATGGAGAGGAGAAGAAAGAGTACAAGGAAATATGTCTTTGGTTGTGCTGTTTTTGCTTCTCTCAACAATGTCCTCCTTGGCTATGGTAAATCTTTTATCATTACATTTTATATGTCCGCACTTACCTACAAATGATGAACTATTCTCCTGTTTGTGAATCTTTTTTGTGTGGTACATACCTAGACTAAAAGAAAGTATAAACCAATGTGTTTGTAACTATGCTAAATGGCTAATTGATATCAACAACAACAACAAACCTAGTGTAATCCCACAAGTGCGGTCTGCGGAGGGTAGAGTGTACACAGACCTTACCCTATCTTGTGAAGATAGAGAGGCAAATGGCTAATTGATATCAAACCAGGAATTTTTGACTCATCAAATAGTGAAGAATGGAATTGAAAGTCAAAGTATTAGTATTTCTAAGCCTTCTTAAAGCCAGGGGTAAGGTTTGCGTACACTCTACCCTCTCCAGACCCCACTTGTGGGATTACTCTGGGTATGTTGTTGTCGTTGTTGTTGTTGTTGTATAATGAAACTAGTTGTGACCTTTTGTCATTCTTAAATGTTGACTTTATTCAAGATTTATGTTGAAGTTCTACACTGCTACTCTACCTTGTGATTTGCGTTGTGGCTTCTGATGGGGACTCATTTGTAGTACTGAAGGAGATGTTATGATTCTAGAATATTGGTGATAATTAAAGTAGTAAACCAGCAAGTTATTGGATGCTTGCCTCAGGAAAAATGTATGTATCTTGCATGATTTTTTAGGACGAGACATGAGCGTCTAATACATATAGTAATGAGGAATTCTACCTACATCTTTTGTAATTTCTGATCAAGCACAATGCTGTTGTCAGATGATTTACTATCTCGTCGACTTTCACATAAGAACATCTGCTGGAATGTAATCTTTAGAGACTGTAATTCATGTTTGAAGCCTAGAAATCCTTTGGAAGAGCAATTGGTAATTTTTCCGCTAATCATATTGTTCCAATCTTGGAGTTCTAGGGATGATATTATATAACGTGATTACATATTTGGGATGGATTAGAGCCTTACACCAAAACTGTTAAAGGAGGGAAAAGACTCGCTCCTTTACAAGTTAAAAGAAATGAACTCTTGAGCAAAAAACATTACACTTTCTTCAATAAATAAATGAACAAAGATGGTTCCTGCTGCTATATTTTGGTGCTTATGGACAGAAAGGAATCAAAGATGCTTTGATGGCATCTCAACTGCTAGATACCTACTCAAGGCTAGAAGTTTGGTCACTCTTTTTAGTTGGGTTAAACTCTCCCCTATGTATAACTCTGACCAATTTATGGAATTTATCAGCTCTCTAGTCTTATGATAGATTTTTTGTTGCTCTCTTCTTAGGAGCTGATATCTTCTTTTATTTTGTAATACGTGCATCCACTGGATGCTTTTGTCAATAATACACCACTTCATCAAAAAAAAAAAGAATCATTAAAAAGTCTTAGACTTGGCAATGAAGCCCTAATATGACTAAATAAGGTCCGCAGCTTCCTAGGCAAATCAACTTCCCTGGATTCAAGAACATCTTGTCCACTTTGAGAAACAGCCTTGAGCAGTTCATCAGCAACAGAATTAGCTTCTCTTGAACAATGTATCAAGGAGAAGTACATATGGATAGAGCTTCTATTACAGAAATAATGTTGCCTCATCTTCTTTGCATTAATGCAGAAAACGTTAACTAATTCCAGGTGATGCAATTTTTAGTTCATTATTAATGGAGAAAGTTACCTACTTTATCTAGTGGAATTGAAAAGAAACAGTGACAATTGTCATCTCCTTTTACAATTTTGCGTAATACTTAGTGATATATGTTACAATGCACTTTGAATATGTACTACCTGGTGTCGGAGTAGGGGAATATAAAGCCCGAGGTGGAGAGGGTGGAGGCGGGAGGGGGAGAAATGCTTTGAATATATTCATCAATTTATTCAGCACACTCTGTGTGCCTTTTCGTAAAGGTTTATTAACTAGCCGAGTCTTGATATCAATGTGTGTGTTTTTGAAATGCAGATGTAGGTGTGATGAGTGGAGCAATCTTATTTATTCAAGAAGATTTGAAAATAACAGAAGTGCAACAAGAAGTTCTAGTTGGTGTTTTGAGCATAATTTCACTTTTGGGTAGCTTAGCTGGTGGGAGAACATCAGATGCAATTGGTAGAAAGTGGACAATGGGGTTAGCTGCTGTTATTTTTCAAATAGGTGCAGCTGTAATGACCATTGCTCCTTCGTTTGAAATACTAATGGTAGGAAGGATTTTAGCTGGAGTTGGCATAGGCTTTGGTGTCATGATTGCACCCGTCTATATAGCTGAGATATCGCCAACTATTGCTAGAGGCTCGCTCACATCTTTTCCTGAGATTTTCATAAATCTAGGAATTTTACTTGGTTATGTATCTAATTATGCATTCTCGGGTCTTTCAGCACATATAAGCTGGCGGATAATGCTAGCTGTTGGTATTCTTCCCTCAGTCTTTATCGGAGTTGCTCTCTTCATCATCCCCGAGTCACCTAGGTGGTTGGTCTTGCAGAACCGAGTAGACGAAGCGAGGTCAGTGCTAATGAAAACAGATGAAAACGAGTCAGAAGTTGAGGAGAGACTAGCCGAGATACAACAAGCTGCTGGAAGCACAAACACAGACAAATATGAAGAGAAACCCGTTTGGCGTGAACTTTTGACGCCCTCTCCTGCTTTACGTAGGATGCTGATCACAGGTATTGGAATTCAATGTTTCCAACAGATTACTGGAATTGATGCTACTGTTTACTACAGTCCTGCAATTTTCAAAGCAGCTGGTATTGAGGATGAATCAAAACTTCTCGCTGCCACGGTGGCTGTTGGAATCAGCAAAACAACATTTATACTAATAGCCATCATTCTCATTGACAAAGTCGGACGAAAGCCATTGCTCTATGTGAGCACAATTGGTATGACTACATGTTTGTTTGGCGTGGGGATCACTCTAATTTTACTGAAACAAGGATCAATTAGCATCGCGCTAGCAATACTATTTGTTTGTGGGAATGTAGCATTCTTCTCAGTGGGCATCGGTCCAGTCTGTTGGGTTTTAACATCAGAAATCTTTCCCTTACGGCTTCGTGCTCAAGCATCAGGGCTCGGGGCAGTAGGTAATAGAATGTGCAGTGGCCTGATCGCAATGTCTTTTCTCTCTGTTTCACGTGCAATTACTGTTGGTGGAACTTTCTTTATCTTTTCAGTAATCTCTGCACTGTCAGTTGCATTTGTCTATAAATATGTTCCAGAAACGAAAGGCAAATCGCTGGAGCAGATTGAAATGTTGTTTCAGGATGAATACGTGTTACAAGGAGGTGAAGTGCAACTTGGAGATGTTGAACATCTGGTGCAGAAGTAGTGGTCTTCGGAAAGTTTCCAAAATACAGCGCTTGTACCAGGAAATACGACACTCAACGATTACCTATTATTTACCCTGATTGATTGATTTATTATTCACCAGATTTGAGTGGTGGAGTTTAGGAGAGACTACTTCATGTGGCTATCTGCAAATGCCACTACAGCGTTCCCCTTTGAACCGTTGGAGGAGAACGGGAGATCACACGATACATCTCTTACTTATAGTAAGACAGAAAAACTGATGTTTAAGACAGGAAATGTAACTCTATTTATGGAAAGAATCACATGTATAAGACTCATGCTGGATATATTTCAAAATATCTATTGATTTATTGGTTAAATGAAAAGATGAGGGTTACTACTTTGGTGCAAACTTCACAGCACTGTTTATGCAAATGATTTATGTTAGAACCAAAGCAGATTCTGTTGTTTACTCTCTTGGAGCCAAATATTTGGGAAACTGCAGCAATTCTGTTTCTTGAATTGTTAAGCTATCAACAAAACGAGCCACCGAATTTACATTAGAAATCGCCAACCGAATTTACATCAGAAATCGCCAACATGAACACAAACGACATCTTGAATTACGTATGGAATCGGTCGGGGCAAGCACATCACTCGTTCTCGCAGCCGTTGTTGCAGCTGATAGACTCAAAAGTAAGTGGGGCAGACTTCAAGTCGCACTGTCCTGCTTCACATAACAAAATTTTCTGTTTTCAACCCCGCTCCTCGCTCAACCCCGCTCCTCGCGTAGACCTAAATCACATAAATGGAAATTTTCTTAAAAGACTAGCATCTCTTGGAATTCGTACAGATCAAATGAGAAATAAAGCGCAATGAAACAAAAAGACATATTTAGACATCACCAATTAGCTAAGATTAACTTTTGGTCATGTTACTGTGTTTATTATAGGTCTAATATTTTTTAGGAGTCCTTTAGTCTTGTCACATATTTATATTTAAATTTTGTTTTATACTCTTATAAAATTGAACTGCTATGAATTTAAATAGAGCGACATGCATGCATGGAAAACAAAAATTCATATAAAACCATCCGAACTTGCTTTGGTTGAAGCATAATTGTTGTTGTGATTTAATATTACAATCATTAATCCATATGTTTGTTTTATATTACAAGCAAAATTTCCTACCCGTTTCTCCTTTATATTATTGATGAATGATTAGTTGGATGAAAATACTACTTCATATTTTAGCAAAAAAAAATTGATTTTTACTTCTTCTTCTTGACTGTGGAAAAGATCGAAATTGCCCGAAAGCCTAAAAGAATGAAAATGGAAGCCTTGAATTCATTCCATATTTTCTCTTTAACAAACAAAATTCATCTTGGTTTGAAGAATGACCTATTTTCCTTGTATGACAAGTTCTTAGAACATGACTTTGTAATCACAACGTAGGAAACTTCTAATTCTTTTACAAGCTTTGTCTAATATAGGATTTTTAGCATTATACTAATAAAATCATATTTTTTAAGAGTAGTCAAACTTTTTTATAATATAGTTCCCTAGGATTATGCGTGATTGCTCAACTTATAATATGAATTACCACGTCCTAGGTTTTGTCTTCATTAAAAGCGCACAAATATCTTAGGAATAATCAGTAAATGTTGCGGTAGAATGATAAATATTCTTTTATTCTTAACTACTGAATGTCTTTGGTTTAAACCTTGAAAATAGAGTTGCTTTTGATAGAGACGACTTTACTCCAAAATAGGATGTCCCTGGCTCTTAACGTAAATCTGAATTAATTGACTAGACACTGAGTGAAAAACAAAAATAAATAAATATCTTGCGAGCATATAAACAAAAAATGGACACTTCCATTAATAAATTGACATGGAATTAATTTTCTATTTTAGAGATCAAAGTACTGCAGCCGCACCATGACATCAATGTTGATCATTAAACATTTAAACCCTAATCATTAGCTATCTAACCGGCCACAATATTAAGATTTTTCATCTTTTATTATTTTATAATTTTTAAGCTTATCATTTTCTCGAAGATGATCTCATGGGACGGCCAATGGACCCACTTTTGTCAAACAAAATATTTGTCAATATTATACCAAATTCCAGTTAGATTTTAAAAAAGTAATTAACCACGAAAAGCATGCTAAGTATACAATATGTAACCTTTTGTTGTTAATCCAAGATATATATTCCCTTTGTTCCAAAAAAAAAATGTGGATTTGGAAGGCGAGAGTCTAACTTATCTAGTTTTGATCTACATTAATGTCTCAATAACAACGGCAACAAACCCTATGAATTCCTGTAAGTGGAGTCTAGGGGTAAGATATACACAGCCTTATCCTATTCTGAAAGAGCAAAGGAGCTGTTTTCGATATACCTCGGCTGAATCTGTATTAATGAGTAAAAAATTTAAAATTCTTTTGAAATAAATTTAACTACTTGAAAATAATATAGGAAGGCATATATAATAGTCAAAGAAAAATAAACTTTTGTACAAATTGTTTTGTACATTTGTACCATTCGTTATGTAATACGTAGTACTTTTTGTTGCTCTAGATGCTTGAGTGATGACTGCTACCTAAATCGTGAGTTATATACCGTAATCACGAACTAGAATTTTTTTTATTTTTTTTATTTTTATAGTGTGTTTAGTTTAGTGTGATAGAAGTGACTCTTCGAAAAATATATTTTTCGATGTTTTGTTGGTGAGTGAAAATATTTCCCCAGAAAGATATAATTAAAGATTAATAATAATATTAGCAAATCAACGAGTGTTTTAACAAAAAACTTTAAGTATTAAAGATTAATAATATATAATACGTTTATGTATTGGTAAAAATAAATATTACACGTGGATTTATATGAGTGGCTGATATGACAAGACATGTGGATCATTAAGAAAGCGACAGCTGGAGAGATGCATTGAAAGAGGCACGAGTCGTAATAGATATGAGCAAATCATCCACGAGAGAAAAAGATATGCTCGCACAAGTTTAAATGGTTATATGAAGAGGTACCGTCGGAATGAATAAAGACAACAAAAAGGAAAGATTCATGAATCATCAAGTAATGAGCGTGAATGATCTCAAACGCTATAGAATCTTCATGAACAGTTACGATTATCAATTATAACGTCTCATTAATATCTTTAATGCTCATAATGATTCGGTCATAAAAGGGGAAAGACGTAGTACTTATAGATTCCTATATAAGGAAAAGACATATCATTTGTACAGACACTTTTTGATTATTATTGGAATACAATTACTTTCTTTTGCTTTCTATTGATTACTTTGCTATTTCATATTCTAATTTTCTTTCTTGTCACTGTAATGAGATCGAACCCCAATAGAAGAAAGCAAGATTTCTGGTGCGAGTTTCATAATGATCACGGTCATAAAATATCAGATTGCAGATTGCTACAAGATGAAGTAGAGCACTTACTAAAACAAGGCTATTTAACCGACTTGTTTAGTAAGAAGGGTAAGCAAGCATATATGAAAAATAGACAAGAGCCACCAAAACCTCCGTCACCAAAAAGAATGGTTAAGTGATAAGCGGAGGAGAGGAGGTCAACGATGTGACATATAAAACTGCGAAAAAGGTGTCAAAAGTCACAGTTACCCACAGAAAGCGAGTACGCCAAGTTTTGGAAGAAGACAACATAACATTTGATGATGCAGACTCAGATGGCGTGATGATTCCACACAATGATGCACTGGTAATATCTTTACTTGTACATGATACTAATGTGAAACGAGTTTTGATTGATCCATGTAGCTCTATAAATATCATTCTTTTAAGAGTGGTAAATGAGATGCAAACTGGTGACAAGTTGGTACCCAAAGCACGTACCTTCTCTGAATTTGACAATTCAAGCGTTGTTACAAAAGGGGAGATAATGCTCACTATATTCGCAGAAGGAGTAGTCAAAGATACAAAATTTTAACTAATAGATATGGACATGGCATACAATATGATCCTCGACAGACCTTGGATTTACGAGATGAATGTTGTTCTATCTACCTTACATCAAGTTATTAAGTTCCGTTCACAATAGGGAATTAGACAAACATGTGGTAATCAACAGGCTTCTAAAAGTATCAATTCAGTGGTAGATTTACGCATAAAAAATGACGTTGCAGACAAAAAATAGCACAGAATTCAGTTGAGGATTTAACAACACAAACCTCAACTACAGATGGACAAACAGATGTAGACTCAAGGCCTGATACTATTCAAGAGCCAGAAGAGAACGAAAACATCAAAACAACAATAGAGGATCTCGAAGCGGTGGTGCTGTTTATACATTGGCCGGACAGAAAAGTTTACATCGGAAATAACCTGAGCCTAGAGATGAAAGGTAAGTTAATTGAATTTTTAAAAGCTAACACATATTGCTTTGCTTGGTCGCATTCAGATATGACAGGTATACCATCTGAGGTGATGACCCATAAGTTGAATAAAGATCCAACGTATCCACCTATCAAATAGAAGAAAAAGAAGCAAGGATCCTTCAAAAACCAGGTGATTCAGGATGAGGTACAAAAGCTTTTAAAAATCGGGTCTATCCGTGAGGTAAAATATCCTAATTGGCTAGCTAATACTGTTGTGGTGCCCAAAAATAATGGTAAGTGACGAGTTTATGTAGACTATTGTCACGTCTTTAGTTGTTAACTAAGTACACGTGCGACACTTGACAACTCGCTGACGATCTTGCACAACTTGCTCACATTCTTGGTATGTCAAGTCAGCCTTGCTACACTTAAGATCGCTAAGAGAATGGAAGAAAGAACACAAGAGAATTGTTTAAAGGAAGCTTTGTATTAGAGAGAACTTGAATTGTTTGCTTGATGAATTACAAGTGAATGGCCCCCTTTATATACTAGTCTCCTAGGGGCTAGTGTGTAAATATTAATTATTACACAAGTCCTTGATATTTACAAGATAAAGGCTTTTTCTAGAATTCTCTACAAGCCTAGAAGATTTCAAGGACTTTCCTAGCAAATCCATAAGGATCTAGGTTCTTCCTAAGGAAATGTCCATACCTCTCTAGAATCTTCTCATAAAGGATAGACTTCTTCTTATGTAAGCTTCCACATGGCATTAATATATGTCAAATGGTGCCTATGTGGCATGATGACATGGCAGGTCATCACACTCTTCCCCACCCAATATTGCGACGACCGCGGTGCAATGCTGCTGTATAAACCCTCGGATCTTATCTTTGAATTGCCATAAGTCTTCATATCGTACTCACATGGCCTCCTCCGGTGATTTCCCTTTCCAATGGACGAGGAACATAGCGATGGCTTTTTGCCCTTGTTTTCGCCTGGCCTGGTAATCTATGATAGCCTCAATCTCCCGATCATGCTAGGCGGTGA